TACAGTGTGTCAGTGTTGGATTTGTAAAAAAAACCAAAAAAAACCCCAGCATCCTGCAGTGGTTGAAAAGGAACCTCTTTCCTTCACTAATTTTGTCCCTTTTCCACCCCTGCACATTTCCCCTTTCCTGCTGTGGTGGTGCAAGCATTACAGCTGGGCACGGCTGCTTCGTTTGTAACCATCTTCAGCATTTCCACTTTGGGAAAAAGAATGAAAAAAGCACTGTAGTAGCATTACTGGCAGATAACAGAGCAGTGTGATTTGGATTTTTTTCCCAGTACTGTCTAGATGCTGTGTACTATATTGTTAGAGAGCTTGGGAATTGGTCGCCCTGCTGCAGCTGTAACATACCAGATCAGGTTGAATCTCCTGAAGAGGATGGGGGATGCAGAGAGTTGGCTCTTCCCCAACAAGCACAAGAGTATGCTCAGCCCGAGGGAGGTTTCTGCAGTGCAGGAGCCAGCAGTGGGGGGAGACTGGGGGAGGAGTGGGCTGACAGCCAAGGCACAGAAGGGATGGAAAGAAAGAGACTTTCAAAGACTGGAAGTGGTGGGTTGAGTTTCTTCAGCTTGGGAAGGCAAGGAAAGTCACTGGACTGATACTGCCATGAAAGGAGGGAGAGGAGAGACTTGCTCTTTAGCTTTTTTTTGGGGTGCCTCATTCAGGAGGCCTGATATTCTCCTATTTTGCTCTACTTTGTTGTATTAAAGTACACGAACGGGAAGTGCCAAGGTGATGGATCAGACTCTTCTCACTGGTGAAAACCAATAAAACAAGAGGTAACAGCAAAAACTGATGCACAGGAAGTTCCACCTGAGTATGAGGAAGAACTTTCCTGTGCAGTCACTGAGCACTGGAACAGGTTGCCCAGAGAGGTTGTGGATTCTCCCTCACTGGAGGTGTTCAAGAACCATCTGGACACAATCCTGAGCAATGTGCACTAGGGTGGCCCGGCTGGAGTAGGGAGGTTGGACCAGATGACCCATTGTGGTCCCTTCCAATCTAACTGACTCTGTGGTTTTTGTGTTTCAATGCTGCAAAGGGGCAGTGGCCACAAAATGTTGAGGGACATCTGAGGGGTCATGAGTGGTTTTGAACACCACAGGCAAGTATCTTCTGGTTCAGCTATCACAGAAGCTGCAAAACAGCCTTGGGGTAAGGCCAGGGCCAGTGCAGGTAACACTGCCCATGGCATATCCAATTCCATTTTGGGAACAATACACTTTGAAAAGGTGGGTGACAGACAGTAACTACAATTAGGATGTTAGCCAAAACCAAAGTGAAGGAGGAAAGGGTAAAAATACTCAGAGGTGCCACAGGCAGTGTTCAAAGAGAAAAACAGAGATAGGGATGTGCACAGTTACTAGACTTTTCTTTACAGAGCTATGAAATACCACTCTGGAGATACTGTGATACCTTTTGATGGAGCTGATTTGTTTGCTGTTTTCTTCCAAACACAATGCTATTATTCCAGTGGCATTACCTACTCAGTCCCAAAGACCTGTGTTTAGGCAGACACTGACCACCTTGGGCCACCATGACCATTAAAGCATGTGCTTCAACTCTTCACATGGAGCATGTGAAGAGTCCTCAGAGAATTGCTTTGCTCAGTCACAAGTAGAGAAAGCTCAAGCTGGAAAAGACCTTCTTGCTGTCTCTAACTCCAGTAGGAGATACAGAAGAAAAGACATAGCCAGACTCTTCTCAAAGGTGCACTGACAGGACAAGTGGCATATGCAAAATTCTGATTACATGCTGATTACAAGGAAACTGATTCTTTCATCAAATTCTTTATCAGGCTGTACAATCTTCATCCCTAAAGATTTTCAGAACTCAGCTGGCAAAGCCATGACCCAACTGGTCTTGTTGGATTCATTTAAGGCAAGACCAGGACTAAACAAGCTCCAGAGACCTCTTGCAACCTAATTTATTCTGTGAATGTATGGCCTAAACAATTATCTTCTCGTTTAGTTTCCACAACACCTCTTCTAATATTGATAGCTTCAGTTAAAACTGAATGTATGGCCTAAACAATTATCTTCTGGTTTAGTTTCCACAACACCTCTTATAGTATTGATAGCTTCAGTTAAAACCAAGGAACTTTAGCTCATTAAACTGCTTTTAGTGTTCTTTGTGGAAGTAGCCTTTGAAAAATCTTTGTTTTACTGTTGTCATTATTATCTTGTTTCGGAAAATCTGTCTTGTAATACACAGCTGAAGTGGAGAAATGAGAACACAATGATGCTGACCTTCCTGGCTTGGATATGACCAGGATGGTAACATAATCACCTTCACCAAAAAAACACAGATCAGAGCCTAAACAAACAAATTCTTCAAAATGAAAAATGAAGAAATTGTGCAACATCTACAGTTCAAGGGTTTTTCTCTAGAGCATGAAAAGAGCACTGTATTATTTTTTCTTAAGACTAATCATACTTTAATGAAAGGCCATTTGTTGCATTAGTAAGGAAGCATTGCAAATCCTTTTCACAGGAGTGCAAATGCCTTCAAGCAAGACAGCTGCACTCAGCACTGCTAACTCTCAGATGTTGATTCAAGCTGTCTTCATCTTTCAATAATGAAAGTTTGTGTAGTCCCATGCAGAGCAAACAATAAATAAATCTGCATGTGTTTGGGGCTCTCCTTTGCTGTGAAGGTCCTCTGCAGGATATAAACACTGACTCCCCACAGACCTTCACAGCTGACACTGCTGGTACCCATCAAACTCAGCCTTTCTAGGTAATGAAGAGCAGCAAGGAGCTAGTGGCTACTAATTCTTGAATACACAACAATGTGGACACATTTAAGCACAGTTCACTCCTCAACTTGTGCACCCACAGCCCTAATTCTTACATAAGCCTCTCAGTCTGAGTTCAGCTCTCCAAGTGAGCTGATGCTCATGTCTGCAGACCTGAAGTGCAGGGTGGCTGGCAGCTGACAAAGCAGGAGAATCAAATAAAAGGGAGCACAGATGAGAAAAGAATTGATGGATAAGTTTCCTCCAGTTACAAGAACATGTCTTCTCATCAAATGGACAAAATAAAGAGCACGCATGGGATTTGCCACTCAAATCCTAATTGCTGATAACCTACTAATCTTTCCTTATCTAGAGAAAAATATAGTTTCACCTCATTATAGCAGAGCAAGACTTTATTCAATGCCTTTGGGGAAACTCCCAAGAATTTGTCCTTCTTAGCTCACTCTTGGCCTTTATAATATTCTAGCTGGTCTCAACTTGGCAGGAATATAATCAGTAGTTTTAGTGGTAGCAGTTTCTCTGCTGTCTTGTTTAAACTTCTCTGAGCAAGTAACTAACATTCTCGATGCTTAATTCCAGCTAGTTTTAGAATATGAATGCCTTAGCTTGCTTTCTTTTGAAGAAACATGTTTCCTCACTATGTTCTCCCTTAAAATGCTGATACAGCAGTCCCCAAAAGCACAAGCTTAATCACACAGGCTGCAGGCTTTGTGTTCTGGGTGAGCAATGGGACTATTAAATGGACACAACCTTGTGGAATATCTACCAAACTCCTTTTATTTTTCAATGCAGTATGCATTGAGAGGGGCTTCTTTCACTTTGGCTGCAGCAGTGCACAGAAATCATTAGTTCAAACCAGGAAATCTAAAACCATTGCACATTTATTTTGTGTCTTTAAAAAGCATAATAACAACTAATAACTAGTGAGATTATATTGCCTTTAGTAATGACATTAGAAATGTTTTATATATTAGTGTTTATATCAAAATTACATATATAATTTGACATACACATCAGTGTTCACCTCATGCCAATAAACAGTACACACAACAGCAAAGAGAATGTGGAGCTTTTAAGCACCTTAATTACAGTAAAAATGCTGCCCTTGACTAGTGTAGTCCATTAGCCAGGGGGTTATAATATTCTCTTATTATATAGAATTATACCTCCTGGGGAATCCTATGGTAAAGGAGGAGTTCATTTCATAATGTACACAGACATACACAGCCTAAAGCCTGAGTTAACACCCTGAACCCTCCTCTGCTGCTCTCCATCCACTCACTTGGCAGGGACTCTTACATTTCAGCTTTAAAACACAAGTTTCAGTACTTCTTTTATAAGGTGCCATACACATGTATGGAAAGGCTTTTAAAAGCTCCATTTACTTTACTGTGTGTTTGTACTACAGCAACACAAACTCCTCCACAAAAATCATGCCTGCCCTTGTGCTTACCTACTTCCTTCACCTCCCTCCTCTGCCTTACTGCCTCAAAGAGTTTACTGTCAGCTTTGCAGGACAAGGCTGTAAGTCTTTGGAAATGTAGCCAAAAAACAAGAGTGCAGCTCTCAGTTATTAGGCCAATACTTCCATACTGTGGCAGCTTTTTACTTTAGGAGAACAGTCATATGGATTCTTACCTGAAGTCTAGTTGGAGGAGTGTTTCTCTCTGAAGTCAGCCAGACCCATTGCACTTATGAGTATTTCTTTTAAAAGCTTTTCTTTTCAGATGAGCAGTGGTAAACATAGCTAGAGCTCTTATTTCTGTCCAGAAACAAGAGGTTCAAGGTGACACAGAGCAAGTTCTGCCTTTTCACAGAAGGAGTTTTACACACTGAGTACCCATTGACAAGGCAGAAACTGCTTAGGGGTCAAACACCAGATGAGAACTACAGTTCTGAAAGTGATTTTATCCTATCCATAATACAAATAATTTGGTTGAAGAAAATTCTCTGCATGTCACATAAACCAGTAGAATTCCCACAGTACAGAGACATTTAACTTATAAAATACAAAAGAACTTGCAAAGCATTGGAAGTAAATTTTCATATTTTCCAATACATGATGTGGAAAAAGGTTTTTATTTTTGAATGGCAACTCCAAACTTTTGTTTGAAAGCTACTAGCTCTCAAACTGACATGGTAAATTACATAAATCCTGAATATGGAAGATTATCTTGTTCCTAGAAGGCACTAAAAGTAAACCAGACCTGTTTAGCACCAGCCACTGTCACAGGCAAATCTTGGATTAAAACATTCTCATTTTTAATATTGTTTCTCTCTTATATTAAGAATATACATCAAAGTTTCATAATTTTACAGAAATGTTCCTTTACAATTTCTCATTATAACCTCTTTGGTTTATTTCACCTTTAAGAACCCTTCAGCTTGACAGACTGGATCCAGCTTTGACTTTTAAGATACACTTTCCCATTTTGTGTGTCAGCCTTAATCCATTTGTCTCTTTCATCCTTTTGATTCATGTGACCTGGAAAAGAGAATCCTGTTAGTTTAATTTGACACACAGTAAACACATCACCTTCACATTGCCATTTTTTTTCCAAGCTCCCTGGAAGTACTTATAGCCCTTTCATTTGGTAGAGTTTGTGTATTTTTAACAGAGGCTCCTGACATTTCATTCTTGATACAGATTTTTGCATTAATCTCATTTCACATCATACATCATTAGAAGAAAGCTGTGGATTTTATTGCATAGTACTGCACTTTTTACCATGGGCTAGGAAACATGTTGTGGTGGTCTGACCCTGGCTGTATGCCATGTGCCCATCAAAGCTACTCTGTCTGTCCTCTCCTCAGCTGGACAGGGCAAAGAAAATATAACAAAGGGTTTGTGTGTTGAGATAAGGATAGCAAGAGATCAGTCACCACTTACCATCACAAGCAAAACAGACTTAACTTGGGGAATAAAGATTAACTTATTACCAATCAAATCAGAGTAAGGTAATGAGAAATAAACCTAGATGTTAAAAGCACCTTCCCCCCATCTGTCCCTTCTTCCCAGGCTCAGCTTCACTCCAGGATTGTCTACCTCCCCCCCAGGAGCATTGCAGGGGGATTGTGTCCATTCATTATGTTATCTTTGCTGCTCCTTCATCCACAAAGGGAGAACTTCACACACTCTTCCCCTGCCCTGGCATGGGCTCCTCCTCCAGGGGTTGCAGGTGGATCTCTGCACCCCCATGACCCTCCATGGGCTGCATGGAAATCTCTGCTCTGGCACCTGGAGCACCTCCTTGCCTTCCCTTCTGCACTAACCCTGGTGTCTGCAGGGCTGCTTCTCACCTCTGCACCCCCATGACCCTCCATGGGCTGCATGGAAATCTCTGCTCTGGCACCTGGAGCACCTCCTTGCCTTCCCTTCTGCACTAACCCTGGTGTCTGCAGGGCTGTTTCTCTCCCATATTGTAGCTGCTCTCTTTAGCTGCTGGTCTGCAGCAGGTTTTTTTCCCTCTGTTATCCCAGGGCTGAGCCTTGTCCCATGGTGGATTTGTGCTGGCTGGCACTGGCTCTGTCAGACACTGGGGAAGCTTCTGGCAGCTTCTCCCAGAAAAGCCACCCCTGTAGTCCCTCCATGACATAACGTGGCCACACAAACCAAATGCATGTACTGGTTTTGTCTGGGATAGAGGTTATTTTCTTCATAGTAGCTAGTATGGACCATGTTTTGGATTTGTGCTGAAAACACAAATAATAATATATCAAATTTGCTGTTGCTGAGTGGCTCTTGCATAGCATCAAGGACTTTTCTGCTTCTAGTACCACCCTGCCAGCACATAGGGTGGGGAGCACCAGGTGGGAGGGGACACAGCCAGGACAGCTGAGCCCAACTGGCAGAGGGATATTCCATACTGCAAGGGTCATGCTCATGTACACAAAGCTGTCAGCAGAAGGAGTGGGGGAAGCTGTGATGGTGTGTGTCATACCCACTAACTGTTCCACAAGATGCAGCCCTGCTGTCCTGGCTCAACATCTGCCTGTCCATGGGAAGCAGTCAATTAACTCCTTGTTCTGCCTTGCTTGTGTGCACAACTTTTGCTTTAGCTATTCAACTGTCTTTATCTCAACCCATGAGTTTTCTCACTCTTACCCTTCTGATTTTCTCCCCCATCCCACTGGTGGGCAGTGAGTGCTGTGTGGTGCTCAGTTTCCATTTAGGGTTAAACCATGACATTGCATTAGATGTTAATCTGGCTAAGCAATTTGAAAAGTTTTCATTGTTATTGTAAACACAGCAATGAGACATGGTAAAACCTGATTGTACAGATGACCAGATATGCTGCTACTATTACTGTTTTCTTATAATAATGGCCTAAAAAAACCAAACCCCAAAAACAACCCTGAAATCTGTTTTCTTGCATGTTTCACATCAACTCAGTACACATGGTCATGCTCTGAAAAGTCCACTGTATAACAAAGAAGAAAGTTCAACTTGCTCTCTCGTGGCCTCAGTTTCTTAATTGTAAAATGAGGGTAAGTGACCTTCCAAATTTATACAGTTTTATGTCCAAACTGGGAATTAAATTAGGATCTTTTCAATCCCAAATCAGCCTTTATCACAAGGTCAACCTTCACTTTGGTTTATCTTTGCAAAAACATCATTTATTATTAAAAATACATACTATTTATTATTTAGCATTTGTGACTGAGTGAATTCTAAGTTTAGAACTAATCTGAGACTGGAATAGCACGAGGGATAGCAGGCAAGCAGATTCAGAACCAACTCTGCAAACATGCTCTGCTCTGACCTGTAACACAGCTGAAATTAAATTCTGGCCACAGCAAAAACAGTGGCAAAACTCCAACTGACATCACTGCATTGGTTTCCACAACTCAGGCCTTTGTGCCAGAACTTTTCAATAGAATTTCAGCACTTTGGTAGTTCTAAGTGGGATTCATTTAAGGTTATGGGCCAGACCCACAGCAATTCACTGCAGGCTGAGGTACTGTAAGTAGAGTTTTCAGAGGAGTCCAACAGTCACTTCAGTGTCCTTTGTTATCAGACTACAAAGTGCCTTCAAGTATCTCCATAGGGATGTCCCAGTACAATTTCAGCAGTCTCAGTCACACTCAGCATCCCTACCATTCTGGCTGTAGGGCACAATCCACAGACCTCACCACTTCACTAGACTTATATCTATGATTATCATCACCAAGTTGGACAAATATATCATACAGGAAATCTGTTAAAATCTGAAAATTCAGTTCCTCAGAGCCTTCCTGAATCCCTGATTTGCAATAGTATTTTATCAGAGGACACAGAATGAAAACAGAATCTTCTTTCAAGCATAGATAGGCCCCTAAAACATTAGATCAGCCTGAATTTTAAACAGGAAATAGCCTCCAGGTGCCAAAAAACTGAACCAACATACAAGTGTAAAGGAAAATTTCAGTTAGAATCATAGGATCGCCAAGGTCAGAGAGGAAAATTTCAGTTAGAATCATAGGATCACCAAGGTCAGAGAAGACTTCTAAGATCACTGAGTCAAACCATTAACCTGTCACTGCTGTAAACTCTAAACCATATCCTCTAGTCTCAGATCCAGATGCCTCTTCAACACTTCCAGGGATGGTGACTCCACCACCTTCCTGAGCAACCTATTCCAGTGCCTGAACACATTATGTTGTGTAGTCACCTTTTCAATTGAACAACCATGAAAAAGGTTGGATTTTTTTGCCCCCATGTGTGGTGCCTAAAGGCAGATAACACCTTTGCAAAACTTTACACAGTCAAGTACTGTTTATTTACTTGCTTCCTGGAGACTGGAGAGGTTGAGAGCTCTATTTTCATGCCATAAAACACGAGAAAAGGATCATATTGTAAATGTTATTCAGTGGTGTTGTTAGGACTGTGGTATATCTCAAAGAGGCTGTGAACATCTTGAGTTGAGTGCAAGCTGAAACCAATAAAAATCTGTAGGATAGCATCTCATCTAATGTGTTTAATAAAAGTTGGATGAACTTTCTATTTGACTTGAAGGAATGTAATAATTTCCAGATACAACCTGGGTCTTTGTTTGGTTTTTTTTTTTAAAGATCTTGCTTTAGCATCAAGGCTTCAGAGAGGGCAGTGTTTAGAGGGACATTGTAAACCAAAGCTCTTCCCACTCAATTCCAGTGGCCAAGAGTCAATAAAAACTGCTTCTAAGAAAGAAGGAAAGTTTTGAAGAGCTTTGAGAACAGAGAAAAACTGTGACTCTGATGGCAACAAACCCAAGACAGCTGCACAGTGGGAGAAGGAACACTACACTTGGGCAGCTGGCAAGTTTCAGAAAAAAACCCCTTCAGTTTCAGCAGACTGACATAACAGAAGCTCTTTCAGTTATTCCCCTTTTAAAGGCAAGTTGCTTGCCTCATGTTATTCACTGCCCATTCAGCTGTGCTTGTATTCAACCCTGGAACTCCAGGCAGCCATAAGCATGGACATTACCTTAGAGCAAACAGCACAGAATTTCAGATAATAAAGACTCAAACACATCCATCCCTAAGCTTTGTGGATGGCAGATGAGGCTCATGCAGACAGCTCCCTCCTTGCACACTGGCTTTGAAGCAATCCTAAAGGGTAAATCCACAGCACTCGATAGGTCACTACTGTACTACTGTATGAGGAGCCACTGTGTGAGCAGTGAGAGTTAAGTTGCTCCTGAAGGTAGGAAACATCTGTCTAAATCCCCTTTGCTCCAGAGGGGAACATCAGGCTGATGTGAAAGTTGTACTGTTTCAGTGCATATGTGAGTGAATGGTTGTTGTAAGGAGAAAGATGCTTCTCACCACAACCTGCCAGGAGAACCAGGCAGGATGAAAGGACTTGAAGTATGTTACTAAGAGAAACCTGAAAAGTCAGAGATAGGACAGTGTTGTCCATGTCCATCTTTCCAAAGCGATATGGTAATTAGACACATCCGGAGGCACAGGATGAGGAAGGTCATCTATTCCATGTCCATCTTTCCAAAGCGATATGACAATTAGACAAGCTGATTCTCTCCAGAGGCACAGGATGAGGAAGGTCATCTAAGGAGTTCCTAGTGATGAAAAGACTAATTGGATGCTGGATTAACCCATAAGGTAGAGACAATGTATACCTGGAAACTTTCACAGGAGAAAAAGGGTTAGAGAAGACAACAGGGGATTCCTCTTCATACCCAGGTTAGACATCTCAGGGACAGACATTAACAGGAGAGAACTCTGTTACCTGTGTGCACGGATACCAGAAGCCATGGATCAGAGGAACACTCTTCACACATGGCTTAGCAAAGCTCTTGTGCTGTAGATGGGATGGGATTAGTAACAAAACCTAAAAATCCTGTTAACTGCTGCAATTGTTGTCATGCTGGGAGACAGTGGGAGCAAGTATGTCTAGACTTGGGAGAAGACAGTAACTCCCAAGTCATGCTGGGAGACAGTGGGAGCAAGTACATCTAGACTTGGGAGAAGACAATAACTCCCAAAGAGGTTTTTCAGTCTCTTTTTATGAGCACAGAAAAATACAAAGAGGTTGGTTTATCAACTTGACAAAGAACAGGGAGACACGATAACCTACAAAGACAAACATCTACAGCCTCTGAGGAGCTCCTGTGACCCTGTGGGACTTTGACCAAGGAAACTTATGCAACTGCTGAAAACCAGAGGAAGTAAGTGACTGCCAAAGTTAAAAGCTCACTCAGCACCAAACAGATGGGTGGCATCGGGTGAAAGGTTGCCACTGGATATGAACTCAGCACTAGAACTGGGGCCAGAGATGGAGAAACATCTGGAACCAGATGAGTCCCTGGCATCACTCAGAGCTGGAAGATTTACATGGGTTAAAGAAAGGGGTTATATTCCAGACAATTAGGTTTGGAAATTGACACTATCAGCTAGAAGAATCCAAAACGAGTCCCCAAATGACTGCAAGATGTTTTCCAGCCAGCTTACAGCTGTCGACACACAAACTGGCAACAGAAGTGGGCTGAAGTATACCCACTGGCTGCATCTCCCTTAGTCCCCATCCACCCACACCCGACAGCCTTCCTTTGTTACTGGGGAGTGGGTGGGAGCAGATGGTCATATCAACTTCAGACAAGAGAAAACAGGGCTGAAAGCAACGTCCCAAGGATGCACTGAATTAAACCTGCCATGCTCACATGGCCTGGACTTCACAACCTGCAGTTCTGGCAGTCCTACTGCCTCAACAGACAGATACTACCAGAAAGTTAACCCTACTGTTTAGCTTAGTTTGCTTTACAAAAAGGTCAAATCATAATTTCTAGCCCTATCACCAGTGGACAAAACAATTTATTTCTTTATTTCCCTGCAGCAATTTCTTACGTGCTAGAAAAGTGCATCTTCCCTCAGTCTTCTTTTTTTAGGGAAAAAACAACATTTTTTTCCAGTCTTCTCTCATTAATCATATTTTAGACTTCTGACAGCATGTGCTGCTTTAGAGTCTCTACAGTTGTCTGCGTCCTTTTGGAAGTACAGTATTCAAAATGGACACATTCCAGCAAAGTATTACTAATGTCATGGAAAGCCAAGGCATTGTATTTGGAGTTTTACAGAATAGTCATGTTAATAGGCTGTTTATTATTTCCAATGGTGTTACAGGACTGTTTCCTGATGGTTTTATTTAAATAAACCTCCTCTTCGGTACCACACAGGTAACTGTTCCTACCTTTGTAGTTTGAAATTGAATTAACTTATTGGGAAAATGGCCTAAAAGAATCAAGATAAGCTGAATTTTAACCTTGACCTTCAACATGTTTTAGAACCTCTCTGACAGGACAGTGTCCTAAGCTCCTTTTCTGTTTAAATATACAACACTTTTTAGCCTGTTACTGTTCTTCTTACCATATACAGTACCTATAGCTAATTATCTCTACAGGTTTCTTAAACCAGCTGATTTAAGAATACAGACAGGCCTGGAGACACAGAGAAGCCAGAGACTGAGCAGAAAGGGCTTCCCTCTTTGCCAGGGAAAAGAAAAAAAATCAGTTTGACATGATAACCATAAGAAATCACTGGAATCACTCAGGCACTTTCCAAGTAGAGAGCCAAACACTTTCACAGATGAAAACTGAACGAGTGCTTAGCATGAACTCTGGGTTTGTAACAGATTTCATTATACCATACATGCTACTTCTAAGAGTACCCACAGATGTCAATGCAAACAGGTGCCTTGTGCTTGCAAATCTCAGGAAGCATCCCAATATTGCAGGAAAAGTCCCTTCCTTTTCTGAAAGAGCAAAACACCTTTCCACGCTCTCATCACACTGTCCCTCCATAGGGGCCATGCAGCCAGGTGATGGTACATGAAAACTGCTCTAACAGTACCAGCACTAGGGAAGGCTTTCCTAGAGCAGGTGATAGACTAAGTGCATGTTTACCCAAGTCACAGAGCTCTACTCTTCTAATCTCTCTCACAATATTCCCAGAGGCAAGTAAAGCTTCTTGAAAACATATAGTTCCTGTGTTATCCACATGAGAACTGGCCAGTTTCTCAACAAATAATCTATTTTTAAACTAACTTTTGAGCTCAGAAGCATAAAAATCTAAGCTGCCATGCTTTTTTCCCACTTGGCAAAACCTCTTTTCTCTCTCTATTTTACATTCTTTCAGCTGCAGCAGCAGGACAGCTAGAGACCTTGTACCCAAAACCTCAACAGTGTGTAATGTTTTCATGATATAGAAATAGTATGAAATGATTTTTAATTATTTGAGAATCTCCTTATAAGAGGAAATTATCAAATATCAACTTCAAGAAGAGGAGATTGTTGGGAGTGAGGGGACAAGTGCTTGGCCTGCAGAAAGAATACATCATGCCCATGGGATAAGGTGAAGAGAAGCAGGAAGCATCTCCCTTGCTATGCCAAAGGAATGTGACTGACTTGGCAAAGAAAGGGGAGGTAAGAAAAGGAGCAAAGCACATGTTAAAAACAACTACTTCACCTCCCTTCAGGTCTGTTGCTTCTTACTGACCAGTGAAGCAAAGGGAGGACAGCACTGCTCACAGATCATTGCTTACATGATGTGAGAAAACACTCAAAGCTAACTGCTGGGTATAAAAACTGATGATGACACATTACTTCAGGCCAACACTGAATTGTATCCTGCAGATAATCCATGCCAGGGGCTACTTTTCATTCACCTGTACTACGATCAATTTAGATCCATGTTTAATAAGTTTTTGTGTAGTGCTGTAACTTCTTTAAACAACTCATAATTACTGGCCTAATGCTGTTGCCTCTGCACAATTCTTGATGATTTCCATGCCTTTGGGACATGTATATTTGAGAGTTAACTAATCAGAGCTGCTCTTGCCTCAACTGCCAAGATCATTTCCATACAGAATGGTGGGTTGAAGAATTGCTGTGCAGTGAAGAACTGCAGCAGTGCTGACTGTCCCACATCAACACTGACTGGGTTGTGAAACCAGAGAAGCCACTCAGCTGTGTATATTTATATTTGAAACACCACTCGTACCTTTAATGTTGCCAAAGCAGCAAGAGGACTGGCCAGTGGTCCTCATTCACTGGGAGAAGTCTTGTTTTATTGCTGAGGTGATTCATTCCATAGTCTTGCTAGACTCTGGGGTCCATCCACAGGATTCTAGCCTGAGAACTTCTAATTATGGCTTTTAAAGTATTTACTGACCACTGCTAAATTTAAGTGCTAGTTACTGTTCCTAGGCAGGAAGTGATATATAATCAGGCTACATATTAAAATTATGTAATTACACTTCTAATGTTTCCTGCCTTTGAGATTAGCATCTTACATGGGGGAAGAAAACATCTTTTGTGCATATTTTCTTAGGTTTGAAAACAAAACCAAACCCAAAGCCTCACCCAGTCTGCTATCACATCAGGTCACACTGACATAACACGTTCAAACACAAAGCTGGAGCCTTCAGACACATTACGTTCATGTTTCCTCTAGAGCAAACTGCATAACTGGTAAAAGCAACAGCTTTAACTTCTAGAGATAGACACATCTGGAGGGGAGGAGAGAAATGCACACCCTGACAATCAATTGTATGATTGTTTGCTAAAGCAGAAAAGCAAGAGCTGGGATTCTGAGCTCAATTTTAAATGCATTAGAAGGATGTTTCTAGTGATTGCAGGTACCTTTCCATATACTCTCTACTGCTCCAGCTGCTTCTGCTCTTCTCCTACTGATCTCCCACCCATCATTTCTCAGCCTTCCTGCACTTTTGTAACATTTATACTGTGCACTAACAAATAAAATAAAATAAGATATACCCTTTTTACTCCCCTACCCCTCACTCAGAGACAACTTTTTATTCCACTTCTAATAGATATTCCTAGGCAAACTATTATACGTGACTGTCCAAGCAATGGGTCAAATTCAGCTCTGGATTACCTACCACAAAAGCACTTGAATAATGCTGAGGATGAATTTGGCTCCAAGACCTTTGCTGGAGAAGCAGTTGATTATATTCACAAGCCATTTACCAAACAAATTTAAGAAGTCAGCTAGTAACATGGGGAGGACAAAGGCCCAAGCAAACACTTCAATGTGAAACAGATGCAACAAGAAGCCTCCAAGAGCAATAAACTAACAAAGAAATGTAGATGCCTTTGACTAAGTCCAGACAGACACTTATTGGAAGCCAAGATTAGTAAGCCTTACCACTTAGAGTTACGTGATCGTCTTTGGAGTCACTCTGTGTTTCTTTTAACTGGATCTCTGAGCTCACATCCACTTTTCTTCCAGACAGCTCCAAATAGGCTTTGAGAGAGGCAGGTACCTTGACTGTAATTGAACCTGGGATAATTTAAGTGAAAGCTTGTTAGTTTAACACTGAGATCAAAGCATGAAACAGGAAATTATTTCACTAACTTCAATTAAATCATCGTTTGGTTGTGTTTGTTGGTTTTTTTAAGAGAATCCTTAGACACAGCAACCTCTTTTTTTGTCACTGAAGGGCTAAATTAAGGTGTCTTCATTTGTCATAAACAAAGCACTGTATGTCACATGTAGAAAATGGTGTCACAGTATTTCCTTGGCAGACATGAAAAATAAACATTGACATATACTGATAGCAACATCTCTTGGTAGAGGATCTTATTACAGGAGTGATCAAGGCAAGCAAATCTAATAAATCTCATGGGTATTATGTCTATTTTCACCTCCTAGTTGCATATCTAAACTCCTGAACAAAGACAGGGAATGGGATTTGACAAACCCAGTCACTGCATGGCACATGATGCAAGAATTGCTCCTCTGGAACGATGAGACACCACTGTAAGCACTACTGATTGTCTTTGCTTTACTGCTAAGGGGCAGCTGTTCTCATCCTCCAACAGATACAGTCTCAAAAGTGACTAACAAGTTTAGACTATGTATCACTAAAATGTAAACCACTAGCAAAACTGCAGCTTTGGTGGCCTGAATTATTCTACCTTTGAGACTAAAACCACAAATTCTGACTTGTAGTCAAGTGGGGGTCAGTCTCTTCTCCCAGGCAACCAGCAGCAGGACAAGAGGGCACAGACTCAAGCTCTTCCAGGGGAGGGTTAGGTTGGATATTAGGAAGAGATTTTTTACAGAGAGAGTGCTCAGGCATTGGAATGTGCTGCCCAGGGAGGTGGTGGATTCACCATTCCCGGAGGTTTTCAAGCTGAGACTGGATGTGGCACTTAGTGCCATGGTCTAGTAACCACAGTAGGGTTGGACTTGATGATCTTGGAGGTCTCTTCCAACCCAGTTGATTCTATGATTCTATGACTTCTGCTTCTCCTAAAAATGTGCTTCTGTGCATCAGACCAAAGGCAAATGCTGGGCCCCCAACTTGCCCACATTAGTCATGTTTGGAATTACTCAGTCACAAAGTTTGGAAGCTTTCCCCTACACATTAAATCTAAAACCTAGCAAAATTCAGAATACACTTTCTTTACATGTGCTCCAGAGTTTTTGCTCAATTCCAGCACTCAATTTAGAAAAACAAAAAATGTTTCTTGACATACATCCAAAAAGCTGAAGCAGAACATGGTAAGAAAAAAGTGATGTTATAACAGCTGAGTAGCATCAGAAAGCAACTCTGGCTGTGCAATTAAATTCAGCAGAGCCTGTGACAGTCCTGATGAACAAGTAACTGCCAGTGTAATTCAGGCCTACATTTTGCTGGACACATACAAGCCTTAGGATAAGAAAGGGAAAAGGTCTTCATCTTTGGGTCCTCCTTGGAGAGTTGCTTAGTGATGTGACTCATAAAATCCAACACACATGCAGCTAATTTATCACAAATGGGACATTTTTTACGCTGCAGCTGTCAGCAGTTACTCTGAACTCACAGGACAAACAAAAACAGAACTTCAACTTTGCCTTTACTAAACTCTGCAGCCAGAAGAGATGTCAGTGTTTTGAAAATAACATTAATTAGATTTTATTAAGCACATTCTTCTTTGCTACTAACTCAAAGGGACATGAACTTCACACTAACGGATTCAAAGGGTAACCAAGAAATAATATACAAATAAATTTCTTTGTGCTAATTAAACCAAAATAGCTTGCACAGAAGGATGCACAAATGATTTCAATGCATTGCCATCATCAGCTCCATTCTGAGTAACTCTTAGGTTTGAACAGGGCACAGGTATTGTCTCACAGAAGTGTACCAAATGTTCATTTGAACCACCTGAAGTGCCTGACATGATGTTAAAGTCAAGCATAAGAATGCTGTAGTGTGTTTTGGTTTGGGGTTTTTTTTCCCCCAATACTAGGACTAACAAGATGTATTCAGGGTGTTGTCATTTACAGTCTCATATCTTCCCAATGGCAAAACTGTGAATTCAATTTTAGGTGTGAGATTTTAACTAAGAAAAGAAATTGTAGTGAATAAGCAGGAGAAAAATAAAGGAGGAATGGTAGGGTAAGGCTCTCTCCTCTTTGTTTTCCTGTTTTCCAATGGAACACTTCACACAGAAGGCAGGAAAAGGACATGTACATGTGCCAGTTATCACCCTGAACACACAGCAGCATGGAGTAAACTGTGCTCAAGGCAAAGGAACACTGGAATCCAGGTGGACTCTGCAGAATTCTGGTATATGACCAAGAAAAAAAAGAAGAAAATTGGAAACCACAAAAGTTTCAAAATCCATTTTAAGTATCATAGCCCCTCACAGAATGTACTGTATCACAAGTATTTGCAGATATCTTCTAACAATGAGGTAAAAAAGGAATGTAGACATCCAACAATCACAAACTATTTTTTCCCAGACAGATTTAAAAAAAAAACCAACCAAAACCCTCATCCCTTTTTCTTTTACATCATAATCTGCCACAAGAAATAGTAGGTTTAGTTTACTAACCTTTCTGAGATTTCAGATCCACTTTTCTTAACTGACTGACATAAACATCTATTGTGCCATGATATGTAGAAGCTTTTAGACTTCCATCTGATGAATCTGAAAAAGAAAGTAAGAAAATCTCTCATGAAAACAATTCTTTGCTAACTAAGTTGTCCAGATTATCCTTTTGCCTTTAAATGATCTATCTTCTATCTCAATTTAAAAGTTATATCCATTGGTTTTAAAGGCCACAGTCTTTTTTTGATAACTTACTGTTTTTTCCAAAATATTTTAAGGAAAATACAAGTGACTATTTACAATTCATTGTTGTCTAATTCTGTATTAAAACAGGAACCCAATGCTGTTGTCTCTCACTCCCTTTAATCTTTTACATTTCTTTTAAGCATTTATAAAATAGTTGAATTGTAAATAAAATTCTCAAAAACAAGGACACATCCAAAAACCCCAAAGATCAGTGCATTTTTCCAGTTAACTGAAATATTCTGCCTCCAGTGAAACAGAAATACAACCCTAGGAGAACCCAACCAAGGAAGCTGAAAGATCTGAGCTGTTCTTCCTGTTTCTATCAGCAAATCCCTGCCAGGTCTCTGACAATTCAATAAGTTACCCTGTGGCATACATTTCTCATGCACAAAAACCTTTCACTGTGTGTCCTTTACATTTTCTTTCTCAAGTTTTTTAGATCTTTGGACCTTATAAGTCTTTTACCTTTGGAAAAATGAATAAAAAAACCTAAAGGATGTTTAATGCTCTTTAGGAAAAGATTAAGCCTAACTAGAGCTTGCAGAACTGAAATCTGAAAAATAAAGCTTCAACTCTAAGATGTGTCTTAATGTTAAAGCTAACCCTGGTTAATTAAGGAAAATAATCAACATCATTGATGGAAAAACCTACCTCCTGTGTTAAACATCCTTATTTAACCACTTTTCATACCCTATGAGTCTATTAAGAGAAGGAAAAGCAGACTAGTAAGCTTAATTTAATGCTGTGGTTTAATGACTAAGTCATAAGAATATGTATTGCATTCATTTTCCAGGAATATTAATGCAGATCACTTAGGAACATAAGAGTTTTAACAGTACAGATTGTCCCTGAACACTGCTTAGTAAGTGACTACAGTTAACACCATTAGCAAAAGTCTTCAAGATTTGGGCCTGTAACTAAGTTTATTGACATAAATCTTTCTACATACATTCAAGAGACACTGAGCCTTGTCTACAATTCTGTTACTTCAATTTTCTGCCACAGAAATAATCACAATTTGAGTTTCTCCCTTTCATGTCTATATACTATTAAATGCACTGATATAATGTATACCATTATTGATAAATCTGAGTTATCCTGTTATATAAATGCTCAGGTTCTTGACAGAAAGTTTATAACCTGTTTTCATTTCTGAAGGGAAAGTGATTACCATAATAGTTTGGAAAGGCTGACATTATCACAAGCCTTCTCCTCCCCCTGAATATGTAATACAACAATGATTAAACTTCCTAATAAAAAACTTAAACATTGATATCAACAAATGTCAGATAAAGAACTAGGCTAAAGGCATGACTGCATTTGATGTACACTTACTGTTTTCTCAGGTCCTTTTATCCCATTTTAATCTAACAGATGATATCTAGACTCAGTCTAACTTAGAATCAGAATCATCAAGGCTGGAGGAGACCTCTAAGACCATCAAGTCCAATCATTAACCTGTCACTGCTGGAACCCCCAAACCCTAAACCATATCCTCCAGCACCAGATCCAGATGTCTCTTCAACATTTCCAGGGATGGTGACTCCACCACCTCCCTGGGCAACCTATTCCAGTGCCTGAACAACCCATCAGTGAAAAAAATTTCCTATCATCTAACAACTTCGAGACCTCTAAGACCATCAAGTCCAATCATTAACCTGTCACTGCTGGAACCCCCAAACCCTAAACCATATCCTCCAGCACCAGATCCAGATGTCTCTTCAACATTTCCAGGGATGGTGACTCCACCACCTCCCTGGGCAACCTATTCCAGTGCCTGAACAACCCATCAGTGAAAAAAATTTCCTATCATCTAACAACTTCTATCCCAGGCTGGGCAACCTATTCCACTGCCTGAACAACCCACCAGTGGAAAAAAATTTCCTATCATCTAACACCTTCTATTCCAGTGCCTGAACACCCTAACAGGGAAAACATTTTTCCTGACATCTAATCTGAATCTCCCCTGTCTCAACTTGTGCAAAGCCCAGTGAGTGTTGGGTGTCAAAAGCCTTGCCCAGCTACAGAAGGCTAACAGCCAAGTTTGGAAAGTATCTCCTTCAGCCACACAGCTATCAGTGCTACTCCTGAACAGAAAAGTGGGCACAGGCATCTGTGTGAAATCACTTCCTTTTAACTTTCACTGTGAATATTTAAGCTTTGAGAAAGGAGAAGAGAAGAACAAGAGACACAGAGAAAAGGTAGAACCCACCTACTGTGATGCTCCCTGTTTTGGTCTGAAGGCTGGTGTTACCTGTTATAAAAAGAGAGGGGAGAAATGTTAAAAGCAAATTATTTAACTGGTTTCTGAAATCGCAGCAAAGGCTAAAGTAATGAGACCCTATACAAGGGCATCATAATTGCAGTAGTACATCTGGTTTGCATGTAAACACAAAAAGGCATAAACCAGTTACACTGCTCGAACATTATTGCTTTACAAACAAAAATCTCAACATGTGGGTAACAGTGAAGTGATATCAGACAGGAAAGGCACTGAGTGAAGCACTATGGATGATTTTAGTAGCTTAGTATTCACAACAATTTTCATAGCTTTCCAAAGAGGCCTTTAAAAATTGGAAATACATCAAGCTCTGCCTTATCCTAGAATCACACAATCATCAAGGTTGGAAGACACATCTAAGATCATCAAGTCCAACCATTAACCTGTCATAGCTGTAACCCCTAAACCCTAAACCATATCCTCCAGTGTCAGATCCAGACACCTCTTAAACACTTCCAGGGATGGTGACTCCACCACCTCCCTGGGCAACTTATTCTGGTGCCTGAACACCCTAACAGGGAAAACATTTTTCCTAGCATCTAATCTGACTCTGCCCTGTCTCAGCTCAAGGCCATTCCCTCTAGTCCTCTCCCTGCAGCCATGGCAGGACAGACATCCCTCAGCCCTCTACAACCTCCTTTCAGGTGGCTGTAGAGAGCCATGAGGTCACCCCAAGCCTCTTCTCTAGGCTAAACAAACCCAATTCCCTCAGCCTTTCCTCACAGGACATGTTTTCCAGACCTCTTCTGTAATTACACAGTAGCAAACAGCCATTAGGGCAGAATGCATTCCACTGTGTATGACCTGTCTTTTTCTTAGTGGTTCATGAGCTGAAAGATAGAAGAGCAGCCTATCATCAACAGCCCTAAACTCATCTTTTCGAGCACATACTGAACAAAATATTAAGGGTTCTGAAAATCAGAGACAAGAAACATATTTCAATAAACTTGAAAGAGGTCTGGCTTTACTCTTTGCTATTTTTACACGGTACAATTTAATTATCCTCCTGTTTTCCCCTTTTTATCATGACTAATACTTAGTTTTGTACAACCTACAGAAAGCCCTAGGGTTTAGTCAGCTAGCAGCTCCCATGGAGCTGAAGGTAGACTACATAGTGCACATAGCCTCTGGGTCTGCTCTCTGTTTTTCTGGGTGCTTTGTTTCTGTTGTGATAAGCAGCTCCTAGAAAACTATTAAGCATGTAGAAATTAAACTCCTATTAACCACAGACTTACATGGCAGATAACTGATGTTGTGCAATTTCAATATATTAGCAAGATAAGCTCTCCTCAAACATTTAGCTACAACAAAAGCTGCTCTTAAAGCAGGCAGGAAACTCCTGCTGTGTTCTGACCTGCACTATCTACAGACAGTGCACAGAAATGCACTTTTGGTCATGTAATTGTTCTACAAAGACCAACACTTAACTTAAAAATTGTAAGTTAGGCAAGTGTTTCTTGGGCACATCAAAGGCAAAGAGCAAAAGACCTGACTAGAGGTAATTACTAATTTGATTATTACAACTCAGTAACTCCAGCAGTGTAGTGCAATACTATGAAGCCCAAAATATAATAGTTTTAACAGAATATTGATGACAGTGGCTTAGTATTTTGTTGCTGGTGCTGCTTCTGAAGAAATAGTTATCTTTGCTGTCCTCTCAAGCTTTGCTTCTCCATCAAGACTGTAAAACTTCAAACTACAGTACTGCAAGTCAGGATTAGTATAGGACCAGGGGTAAAAGATAGTTTGAGGATATAAATAAAGGCATCACTTGATACTGTATTCTTTCCACTCCTTCAATTTGTTTTGAAGGCTCCCAAGGTGGCAGAGCTCTTGTGATGCACAGAACTCCTAATAAACCATTATGCAACCTTTTAGCACTTTGAATTTTAAATTTGCATCAGACTAAAGTCCACACATACCTAAAATGGAATGAAAATAAAATTAACTTCTACAATTCCACTTATACAGTGAAATCCAGAAACATAGCTGAAATTTATGGAACATGCTTTGGTATATGAGGTATATTTAATATTTTATACACAGAATACCAAACTGAAGCATTACACTGTACTACCTTTGACAGACAGCAGATTTTCTACTCTGTCTTATTCAGGTCATTGACAAGGTAAGGCAGTTGCATGTTCACCTTTTTCTACACATAAATCAATGTCTAAATATATAAAGTAACTTCAATAACCATCTTTCCAGTGTGACTCTCTCAGATAATGAAATAGTTACTAGACTATGACAGAAGAAAAGGTCAAAAGCAAATATAATGTCCTGCACAAGCTTTACTGATAGCAGGTAAGGACCTGGGCAGCTTATCTTGTCTGCTAATATATGTGTTTGTGTGTGTACTTTCAAAGCCTTTGGGCTTACAATTAAAACATTATTGAGGAACACATGATGTTTTGCAGAAAGTATTTTCCTGAACAAACAGAAAAACTATTCTCATGCAAATGTTAATGTGCCATTGTTTTTAAAAGAAACAGCTAAAATAACTTTAGGTGTTCCAGCCCAATTTAGTAGAGAGCTCAAAAAATAATCCTGAAGTCACATAAGAAATGTCTGTATAATTTGGATACAATTTTATTTGTTTTCACATTGTTCTGCAGCTAAATGGCAACAAGGCATTACTAAGGAAGTAGGTCACTAACTACAGCAGTTATGATTTCACTTTTTATACCAAGAAAATGAAAATAAACTTTTGGATGTGCACAGGCATGAACATGCTCACAAACTGGTCACTCCACAGTATCCTTACAGCACTTGAAGTTAGAAAAAGCCAAAAGAAAATAGCTTATCAGTCAGAAGTGCCACTAACAATACAGTCTACTTATCAGTCAGAAGTGCCACTAACAATAGTCTATGTGCTAGAAAAATACAGTAACATGAGAAAAAGCAGTTTATTTCTGCCTATACATGCTAAAATGAACTTTACCTAACAGGTTTAGAAACCATTCATAGAATCATCAAGGTTGGAGGAAACCTCTAAGATCAAGTCCAACCATTACCCTGCCACTGCTGGAACCCCTAAACCATAAACCATATCCTCCAGTGTCAGATCCAGACCCCTTAAACACTTCCAGGGTTGGTGACTCCACCACCTCCCTGGGCAATATTCCAGTGCCTGAACATCCTAACAGGGAAAAATTTCTCCTGATCTGAATCTCCCCTGTCTCAGCTCAAGGCCATTCCCTCTAGTCCTCACTGAATTAACTATAAATGGGCAGAGGAGTTGCTCATTTATGGAAGAAACAAAAGTCGTTTCTCAATGACGATGACAACATCAAATTGCTAAGAAATTGCAGCCAATTGTTTATAGGACATATATAGCTGAAAATCTGGAACTCTGACTGAGTGGAGTAATTTTCACTCTCTGTACACCCTCCAGTTTGTTTTACTCAAACCACCACAAATGCATTACAGCACAGAGAGAATTCAGTGGAATTCTGTTACGTTAGAAAGCCAAACCAGATTCAAACCTCAACTGCTGCTTAAATAAAAGACTCTGTAGCTAATTAGTTTTAGTTCTAGGTGAAGGACATTAAAGGGTGGATGGATTAGAGACTTCTTCCTCAACCAAAGAACAGGAACTGTCATCACTCTGTTAATATAAGGTGCCAGCACACACACAGGCTATTTTTGCTAAAAACTTCTAATTACAGCCAACTTTTACAATAGTTCTTAGTAGATGCTCTAAGAGTTGCTTCTCCTGTGAAGAAAATAAAGGATAGAGGGGAAAAATAAGTCTCTTTACAACTTCTAGTATAATTTTCATGGTTGAGTTTTAAAATATTTTTATTTTCTCAGTGTGATGTTTTTTCCCATAACATACACTATTTGCTATTTCCCAATTGTGTTTATAAAATTGCTTTAAAAAATAAATACAGTCTGATGGAGGCAAAAAACCAATTCAGTCTCTAATAGAGACAGAATTGTTTTGTTCATACACTGTGCACAGTTGACTTAGGGCCAATCTATTGCATTAGTCCTTTTGTTAATATGAACATTATGAACACCTTCAAAGCAGCTAAATTTGTGACAGTTTTCCTTCTTACCATGAACACTTCCCAGCATAATATCACCGGCTACTGAAGAGAGAGATGCTGATTCTGCATAGAGATACTTGGTTTTCAGCAGCCCATCCTCAGTAGATATGTTGATGGTTGTCCCCTGTAGCTTCTCTATATTCACACTCTAAGAGAAATAAACTTGAATAAACATAATGGAAAACTTGTCATTGCAGCTTGAAAAGGCAGAGAGAGGTTAAGACACATTAAGACACAAAACAAATGAAAAGCAGTTGATGGTGCAAAACAAATGGAATCAAGTTCTTAGTTAAAAGCTACACAAGACAAAACAAAAAAAACTTTTCATCCAAGAGCTCTGAACAAAGAATTTTACAACATTCCTATGAGTTATTACACCCATCACTCAGGTAAGAACCCAAACAGTCCCAAATGGATAAGAGGAAAAACTTGCTTTAGTTTTGAAAAACGAAACCACTTCATTTTGAGAAGTAAAAAAAAGGATTAACTTTCAAAATGAAGACTGAATGTTCATACAGCACTAATGACACTTAGAGCATCGCTGATCAGTTTTCTGCCACCATAAACTGAAACATCCACTGTCTTTGGGACACACAGCTATTGATGGAGATTTCTAACTGGCTAACTTTGGATGTGCAGCTTTGGTGAAGGTCTGCAAAACAGTCACAGCTGCTGTTTTCTCAGTGTAACTGTTCACTTGGTTACTCAGGCTTCTATTCCTGGACTTAAGCCTCAAGATACACAAAACCTTGAAAAAACAGGGATAGGATCTCCATTTCTACTTCTTTTCCATAGAAATGGAGAGAAAGGATAGAAGTGAAAAGTTGCACTATGGATTTGGGGAATAAAAGGTGATACAGGAGATGATCTATGTACAATGATTATGGAGAGAGTGATCAGGCATTGGAATGTGCTGCCCAGGGAGGTGATGGATTCACCATCCCTGGAGGTTTTCAAGCTGAGACTGGATGTGGCACCTAGAGCCATGGTCTAGTAATCACAGTAGAGTTGGACTCGCTCTTTGAGGTCTTTTCCAACCTAGTTGATTCTATGATTCTGTGACAAGAAATATGATATAACCTAAGCCTATATGAACAAAACAAAGTAAATCATGTGCTTGTGCAACAACCACACAAAATTTAACTCTACTCTTCCTCAGTTAAATTTGATCTATGAAGCAAACATGCCATAGTTCACACTTAACCCCCACTCAATCTGGTTTTATTTTGCTTATGCAGACTTCCAATGAATTGCAAAACATCCTTATTCATTACATGAAGTAATAGATTGCCTTCCACATCAAACTGTGCCTTACTTACATTACCTTTAACTCCTCCTTGCCCTCTGAGCATTGCCATCTTGGGAGAAAAAAGTTAATGTAAAAAAATAAGTCTGCTGCCCCTCTCAGTGTTATGTTATATAAAGAATAAGCTACGGATGAAGCAAGAGGTTCTAGTGTGGCACAAACTCAATGCTATGCTGTATTGTGTCCCAAAAAGTGAGCTGAAGAGATTCATTTAATATGGATTATATGACAGCCAAGTGGACTGACCAATCCATACATCCTGAGCTTTATGATGTTTTTATACCTTAAATCATAAGATCACAGAATGGACCATTGTCTAAGACACATGGTCAGGCTCTGGAATATTGCCCAGGGAGGTGGTGGAGTCACCATCCCTGGAAGTGTTGAAGAGGCATCTGGATCTGGTGCTGGAGGATATGGTTTAGGGTTTGGGGGTTCCAGCAGAGTGGCAGATTAATGGTTGGACTTGATGATCTTAGATCTCTTCCAACCTTGGTGATTCTATGATGCTGCAATACAAAATTAGGTTTCCAAGAGTGTAACAAGATACATTAACCTCTAAGAAAATTAAAATGCTGTGCTAGAATTAGAGATACGTAGCAGTCAATACCTACAATCTCTGCAGGTCTTGCTGCTTAAAACTGTGCTACAGAATGACTTTAAATGAAGGAGAGCTGATTTAGATTAGACATAAGGAATAAACCTTTTATAATCAGGGTGGTGAAACGCTGAATGGCACAGGTTGCCCAGAGGGGGATGGGATGCCCCATCCCTGCAAACATTCAAGCTCAGGTTGGACAGGGCTCTGAGCAGCCTGATCCAGTTGAAGATGTCCCTGTGCAGGGGGATTGGACTAGATGACCTTAAAAAGGTCCATTCCAACCCAAGCTGTTCTATGATTCTATGAATCTGAGCATCAACAGCAAACAAAACCCAAATCTATCAAGGCAGAATCTGTCACTACTGAAAGGGACAGCAATTCAGCCTTTCAATCTTTCAGTGCATCTAACAAAACAACAATAAGCAGAAACTTTAAATCTAAGTTTACACTGCATCTGTCCTAGAAATGTTTCCCACAGAGTACTCCACTAGTCCCTCACCCAGGATGGCAAAGTGTAAACCTGCTGTGACACATGTTGCCAAAGCCACTGTCATTTTAGGCTCTATGGTCTGAGCCTAGAGAGTTAAATGACTTGCAAAGAACATTTCCACTTTCATCACTGCTATCAACACAATGAAAATAGAGCAAAGCACACTTTAAGAGGGAGGAATGAAATGAAAATATCTGCACAGTTTGGGTACAAACTGGCTGCCTTTTGGCTGAACAGGCAAAGGAAAGTTCAGAAAGCTACATCTGTTACTATAGAATACAAGTTTTGACTTTATTTAGGTATATTATCTTACCTAAAAAATTGTAAATGCTTTATTAAGTCAATCTCACATACCACCTCATCTTACTTACCAGCCCCAACTACCTTTCTTAAAAAGGCACTGTATTAAAAACAGCTGTCACACATGCACATAAAAAGAAGCTGTTATAAACAATAAAAACTACCAACACTGTGAACTTTTGTTTCAGAAAAAACTAAATTGGGGGTGGGTGTAAGTCAGACTGCTCAAGTATAAGACTAAAAAAAGTATTTTAGATAGGGAAGGCATGAGAAAAAAAAGTACAATTGCTTCTTACAGGGAGTAAATTTGTTTTCAATCCCAAATTCTTTAACTTTTATGGAATTTTGGCAGAACATAGATGTCTGGTTCTGCTAAATAGGTGTTATAGAAAAGTCCCTGTGGCACAGATTAGCTAATGACTCCCCAGTCAAACAAATGTGATTATTTTTGTCCATTGAACCAGTAGGTTTTCTGTAAAAAATCCTTCACTTAAGAGCAGAGCCTTGGGAGGTGCAGTTACTGAAACTGGCCACATGTTCAAGTTCCATCAGTTTCTTACCCTTTAGAGAAGTGTCAGTCTATCCTCATAAATCAGACTGAAGATGTTTTTGCACCTGAACACATTTTTAAGATGAAAACTAACATCTTGCTATGTTTAAACAAGACATACACAGCTCCTTCCCCACATGTTCCTGCTCTTGGCCTTCCTGTTCATGCTATCCTTGCTCAACTATTTTACTAGTGTCTTCCTCAATTTCTCCCCTTAAAAATATTCTGTTTCTCAACTGTTTAGTGCCTTTTACCACATCCTCTCCCTCCCCACTGCCAGGAGGGAGCTGAAAATGCTGACAGAGCCATAATTACATAGTTATGACTGCAACTGATGGAAGAAACATCTCATACAGACACACACAAGAGAGGCAAGGCTGATTATTAACAGAAATGGCCAACTGAGAAAAGAAGTCTCACACTGTCCTTCCTAACTACACAGCAAGGTTTGTCGGTGAGAAGTTCAGTAACATAATTCAAAACAATGTTCTGTAGAATCATAGAATTTTAGGAGTTGGAATGGACCTTAGAGATCATCCAGCCCCAACTAACCTCTCCTGCCATGGGCAGGGACACCTCCCCACTAGATCAGGTTGCTCAAGGTTTCATCCAACACTGCCAGGGTTGGGGCATTCACTACCTCCCTGCGCAACCTGTGCCAGTGTGTCACCACCCTCATAGGAAAAAACCTTTTCCTAATATCTAACCTAAATTTCCCCTCTTTCAATTTGTACCCATTGCCCCTTGTCCTGTCACTGCAGCTCTAACATAGAGTCCCTTCTGCACTGGAAGGTGCTATGAGATCTTCACACAAACCTTCTCTTCCACAGGCTGAACAGCCCAAACTCCCTCAGCCTGTCCTCATAGGGGAGATGCTCCAGTCATCTTAGCAACTTTGTGGCCTCCTCTGGTCTTGCTCCAACAGTTCCATGTCCTTCTTACACGGAGGGCACCAGAACTGCACGCAGTATTCCAGAGCAGAGTAGAGGGCTCCCCCTAACTCGAGAGTCACCTACTCGAGTTACTAGACCTTTACAACTGTTAAGAGTGACCTCTAGCAACATTACAGACTATACAAACACGATCACAAAGAAGCACTTCAGCTTAATCTGTACGAAGTTTGTTTTGTTGTTTCAGAAGGGAAATGTATCTGAAAAGAGTTGGAATTTTTAAAAGCATTTAAGGCTCAAAGCAAAACAATTCCATGAACTGTATTTTCATATAGATACAGATCTAATAATTACATTTATTACATAAAAGGCAGTCTAGCACCCACTACAAAGAAACACAGAATTTAATGCTGACAGATTTTGGAAAATCCAATGGTAATTTGCTCAGGTTACAGCAGGACTTCAAGAAAAGCTCACAGCTGGCTCTGTGTAAGTGAACATATGACCTCAGAACCCAACCTACAATGTGCACAACAGTGCCAAATGGCACTTCAGAGAGGTGATTTCAAACCCCTAATAGCTTGGTCTCAAATCTATCCTTGGCAAGGCAGAGTTACCTGTACTCTGATTCTTCCCAGTGCTGTTGATTTAAAGGGTACCTATTGATTCTGGCAGAGCATACATCCAAACTACTTGAGACTTGGCCTGGCTCTGCATGTTCACATAGCAATGCTTCAGATCTAAGGAATCCTACTGCCACCACTTGTATGGGCAATAAGATGCCTAAACATTCAAGTTGAGCCCAAAAACAGGACTGGGTGTGAGAACTGTAGTATTATAAGGGAGTCTAGCTCAACGTAAGTTTAAATAAAGGAGAACTGACTAATGTCAAGAAAAATAAAGCAGATTACAGTAGTTTGTGGCTTGTCTCACACTGCCATCTACTGAAAAAAGCAAAGTACTTCCCTGCAAAATTGTTCTGTTTGTGATTCTCTGCATTGCATCTCATACCAAGATTACCTATGGCTTTATTCCCTCAGCTGCAAAGACATCTGCAAAACCTACTCTTTCATTATTATCTCTTACAACCATATAATGCTGGAAGAGCACAACATGTACAAATATTAAGCCACTAAAACAAACTCCTTTGCCTACTGCAAAATCCCAGTGCTTAGATATCAGTCTAGGAGAAAGTTTGAGTGCTCACAGAACCATCAATGTTGGAGGAGACCTCTCAGATCATGAAGTCCAACCATTAACCTGCCACTCTGCTGGAATCCCTAAACCATATCCTCCAGCACCAGATCCAGATGCTTCTTCAACACTTCCAGGGATGGTGACTCTACCATCTCCCTGGGCAACCTATTCCAGTGCCTGAACACCCTAACAGGGAAAACATTTCTGCTGACATCTCATCTGTATCTCTGCTGTGAGACTCTATATAATTAAAGCTGATGGGTTGTATCAGTTAGCACAAACTCTGTGCTGGTGGAATGATCACATGATTATTACTGCTCTTTCTGTGGTGCCTGTTAATCCACATCAAGCATAAGATCATATAATTTAAGACAAATGTAAGAAACCATGAAATCACAATCAATCATTGAGGGTCATTAAATATTCTTCAGCACATTCTTCAAATTTAGTCATTTCGCAGCAGATAAGCTAAATATGCCACTGAAGAGAAAGTTTTACTTGTTACTTACCCCCTTCTCTGTTGCACGAATATCTGTATTTCCATAAAGTGTTCCAATACCAATTACTTTGCCACCATTTGTCTGTATATCAATTTTATGGCTCTGAAAGAAGTTTAAAAATCATACAGTTAGGATAACCATAATTAGAAAATGAATTATTTTGGTTTTCAAGTTGCACCACATTAACCACCTTAGATGACAAACATTTGGTTGTCATTTATGCCAAATGTGCTGTTTATTTCATGGAATCGCAGAATGGTTTGGAAGGGACATTAAAGATACTCTAGTTCCAACCCTCCTGCCATAGGCAGGGACATCTTCCACTAGATCAGGTTGCTCAAAGTTCCATCCAATCCGGCCTTGAATATCTCCAAGGATGGAGCATTCACAGCTTATCTGGGCAACCTGTTCCAGTGCCTCACCACCCTCACAGGGAAGAATTTCTTCCTAATATCTAATCTAAAGCTACTCTCTTTCAGTTTGAAGCCATTTCCCCTTGTGCTGTCACTGCAATGGACTTCAGCCAATTAAATACAACCACCACCAAAACCCCCAAAAATCTCAATAAAAGCACCCTGAACAAATCTCAGTGGCTGGGTAAGGTCTACCACACCAAACCTGCCAGACAAAACCTAATAAAAAGCCTCATCCAGAATGCTTGGCTCTTCTGTTCCATTACTAGCCTGCATGAAAAAGGAAAGCAGGTGTCAAACCTCCAGGTCTTTGGAAAAGACACCATAGAGCATACCAAAAATCAGCATGTTTTTTTGAATTACAAGTTATACAAACAACTTCTTGCAGCCTGTGGCAAATTGGGAGAATTAGCAGTTATGAAGCTTTTTGCTGGTGCTCTTGGATAATCCCCATGTGACTAGATTTTTTTGATTTATTTAAAGTCATTCATTGATCAACTATCTTTAGCTCTCTCCTGTAGAGAAAGTGCCTCCTGCTTTGTTAGTCAATCAGGTTTGTGGACAACATGACAGCAAAGCAACATCAAACAGCTTTAGTCCATCCAGGGGAGGGCACTAGCACTTCAGTTTCCCTGCAGGGGAATCAGCTCTTGTGCTGCTCTCCAGCATCTAGTCTGACCCTAAAGGTTAATACTTTGTTTCTCACTAGTAATTCTGCTTCCCTGATAATACAGGATACAATGCCTGAAGCAATATTAGAGTTACAGTTACCTTAGTAGAACTACAGTACTCCTTAAAACCAAGATTAGACTCCAACTTGGCTGTACAGCTAAGAAATACTGTAATGGAACAACTGTTTGCTCTTGCAAACACCTACATGGTTAGTAATTTTAATTCAAACCCTTCATCTCACTACTTCATAGTCAACAAAACCCAAGAGTGGCAACATATCTTCTAGTTCTGTATGCTGAAGCCATCACAGCAACCAGAACAAAGACAAGTGATCACCACTCACAACCCAAAAGAATACTTAGGGTAAGTAAGGTTAAAAACCCCAAACCCTTGTAATCTAAGAGCCCTTGGGTTTAACAGGGGTTTCAGTTGAAATCTGCAGTTCTTTCTTGATACTTTACAATTTAAATGCCTTTTGGGACAAGGGTGTTCCTCTCCTCTGACCCTTAGCAAGCAAAGAAGCTTCTTGTGGCCACCAGCTCAGTGGAAACACTGAGCTACATGCACAGATGAAAAATTAACTTTTACATTCATAGTTTTGCTGTCACTTTTGTGAATGAAGCAAAGCTCAAAGTTGGCAGAAGAAAAAAATCAACACGAGGTTCATCTAAACTATACAAGAGTTGGCAGAAGAAAAAAATCAACACGAAGCTCACCTAAATTATACAAAGCCATGGAGGAGTTGGTCTCAAAAGCCCCAAACTGGTGACTTTGCAGCCTTCTTTTCAGTTCATTAGAAAATATTGTTTCACTGTTACTTGGAGTCTCATGGAAAATAGAAGTGACTCTTTCAATTTTTAGAACTCTAGATTTTTCACATTTTGGATTGCCTTTGAGACAAGATGCCCAAAAAATTAGTTAGTGCTCCTTCCTCAAAATCCTCTTTTTCCAAGACTTCACAAAAAATTCCTGACATGATGGCATGCTGGCATTACTGCCACTATTGCTGGTCAAAACCATCTTGTTTTCTCATATTCTATAGTTTCTCACACACTGCTGTTGCTGTTATAACAGTCATTTTTAACCAGAGCTTTAGACACCTACAGTACTCAGCACAGTGCTCTTAACTTTTGGTTAGATTTCAGTTACCTTTGTAAGAGTAATGTGGTCAACTAGACAGAATCTGGGAGATACAATTTGTCTGTAGTTCACTGAATGTGGAGTAAACCTAACTCTGCTGTATATTAAATCTCCCCCTAAGTTCAGTTTTCCCTGTGTGTGTTATAAAACCATCTCTTACCACAGTAGAGAAAAATGCTGAAACATTTTTCATACCTCAAAAAAATATTTAAACCTTCTTTTGAATTCATACCAATTCCTGTGGGTACAGTCCCAAATATTTAAGTGAATTTGATCCCAAACAGCACCTAAGTCAGCTATACTATGTTTAATTTTACAAAAGCTTATGTCAGCAAACTTGAAGTCTTAAGATTGAAAAGAACAAGGTCATGGCTGTGATATATACAGTACTTAACAGATCTATTTTGGACATGTAATGTGTAACTTCTGATTGAAAATTAACCTAAAGGGTTTGTAAATGTCACTGATATATCAATTATAAAGGGGAAAAAAAACCACAGGAAAGAAGCAGCAGCATGCTGCAAAGTCTTGAATGAGCACAACTATTAACCTAGTAGACAGGAAATCCAGGTCTACCTTTTGCCTTTGAAGGGTGGGGAGGACAGAGATCAGGCTCACTGCTGTCACTGTTCCTGCTCCCTTTGGCTATCACAGGCACATGGACTTCTGACTCCACATTGCTTAGTGCTATTACATACAATTACAACACAAAGTTAACAATTAAAGGTGCTACTACACACCTTTGTGCTACACACACAGCAACACTAGGAGCGTTACAATGAGAGAGAGATATCAGAGTACTTCTCATCTCTAGCACTGGTATTTAGGTTTTTATACTGTATTCTACCACACAATCCTTTTTCAAACGCTGACAGAGCAGGGGAGGGTTCTTTGTACCTTTATTGACTGCAAGACACTAGTTCCCTTCTCCGTTTCTATCTTGCAGTTATCACACTCTATTTTCTGAATCTTCACACAGCCAGTCCCTGATGTTTTGATATCCAAATCTAGAATTGAAAGAGTTTGATTAGCAACAGAATGAGGAAAGTCACATCTCTTTAACATAGTATTTGATCACTTCATATAGTAACTATATGTATAATATAGTAACTATATCTAGTAGCAGGGGGAAAGCAGCTTCTTTATTACTTAAGAACTTTTTTGCAAAGCTTGGCCACACAGTTCCCATTGCATGATGAGTCACTGTCACCAATGGACACTGAAAGTTAAGTAAGCCTGGGCATAAGCCATCCAGCTTCAGGAGAGAACATTAAGAGGCAGCAGAGTGACTGTAACCTCTGGCAAGGAATCAGCAGGGTGTGGTTCTTCAGTGAACTTTTATCCTTTTCTTTAGTTCTAACTTCACCTCCATCTCATAGCCATACAGTCAAGTCCATCAGAAATTCTACTGAGACACTTGGGCACCCTGACAGGTTTTGGGGTGGAAGGCTGGCAAGTTGTTTGAGGCCACAGTAATAAGGTTCAACAGCACAAACAAATACACCTTGCTCAAGCCTGTGCTGCTCAACGAGCCAACAGCACCACACAAAAACAGGTAAAGAAGTGTTGGTGTGAGTCATTTCTCCCCAGCCCTCTGGAAGGCCTGACTTATCCCATGGCACAAAAAAGCATGTTTGCCTCTAGTGTGAATCATCTCACCTTCTTACTGTTCATAGCCTCCCTCAAAGGGAAATCACTAGGTCTTGCAGATAACATGCAGGAGCAGCAAAAGCATTTTTCTGCCACTCGAGCTCACTCCTGAGTTTAAGGAACTGGGAAGAAGTTGGACTTGATGTTAGAGGTCTCTTAGAATCATCAAGGTTGCAGGAGACCTCTCAGATCATCGAGTCCAAACATTAACCTGCCACTCTGTTGTAACCCCTAAACCATATCCTGTGGCATCAAATCCAGACACCTCTTAAACACTTCCAGGGCTGATGACTCCACCACCTCCCTGGGCAACCTATTCCACTGCCTGAGCATCTTAACAGGGAAAACATTTTTCCTGTCATCTATTCTGACTTTCCCCTATCTAAGCTTATGGCCATTCCCTTCTTCCAACCTTGATGATGATTCTGATTCTAAGCTCAAGAATGTGCAGTCTAGGGATTCTGACTATATTAATAATCTTTTATATTAATGACCACCACAACAACTGGCAAAAGGCAAAGGCAGGAGAGGGAAAAAGTTGTTTTGTTCTTCTAAGAAGAAAAATTGAACAGAAATCACAAGTCTTTGCTGCAAGACACATAACTGAAGGACTAAGAGAAATAGTGAGCCTATTACTCTTTAAAGAAAAAGATATTATCTGGGAAAGAAACCTTAATTTAAGCACCTCTGAAAGACTTCACTTCACCTCCACTGCCTGCTAAGGTGACCAGAAATATGAGAAGAATCAGAGTATGCATAACAAGCTTTGCCCTGATGAGATTCCCAAGTCAAACCTGTGAGCCAGCAGAGCCTGAAGATCAATCCTGTCACACTGCTGTCCAGGACAGGTGCTGGAATCATGGCAACACTAAGCTTGCAGATCATCAAGACAAGAGACTGAGAGATCCAACAGATGAAGGAAAGTTTTGCCACATGACAAACCAGGAGAATCCAAGAGACAGAGCTAAAACACATAACATCTTTGCTGCAAGCATCCTACCTTATTGCTACAGTAAGCTAAGAGGTTAAGAAAGAAGGCTACAAGAGGTAGACTGGATAACTTCCAGAATGCTGTTTTATTTGCAGGCATTATTTTCTTTCCAGGAAAATGATAGTGTGACCAAAATTTTAATCAAACTACATGTTTCTTCAATTTAAGGAAACTCTGTGATACATTTTGAGGCATGTAAAGGCACAAAACCTGGCAAACTGGACTGGTGACTACCATCAGACATCCCAGGGACACCTCCACAAAGTATTTTGTTGGTAAAGCCTAGACAGTTTCACCAGACTAAAAATATCCGTGTGATATCCGAGCTGTTTCGATTTGATCAATAGGTTCTGAAGTTTAGACAAAACTTTTACATAAGGTTTTACTTCTCAGGGAGCAGTTGGATTGTTTAAACACAGTTCCCAGGGAGACACAAATAGAGGCACTCTCCAAATGTCTATGTTTGAAACACCATGTCCCTGCACAGCACAAACCTGGAGAGTTCAAAAAGAAAAAAAGTATTAGTTTTGAAACACAAACTGTTTTGCCCAAAATGGCTCAATTCAAGCAGTGAACAACTGCACAGTCCTTGCGAGGAACTATGACCAAGACTTCTACTATTTTGCTTTCTGATAGTCCTGAAAACCAGTTTGCTTGTTCACATATTTGAATTCAGCCAGCTTGATACCCTCCTGCCCTTATTGCTTCTGCCAAAAGGGGTGAGGAAAAGACTTGGGATCAGTCAGTTTAGCCATGATACAAACTTACAGAATAAGGTCAACAAAAGCCTCTGATCCTGTAGAGCATATTGTGGTCATCATTTGAAAAGTGGGTTAGTAGTGTAATCTGAGCTGTATCAGAGACGGGTGCTAAAAGAGGACACAGAAGTCTGGGAATTCATGAACAGGTTGTTAAGAAACACCAGGGATTTCTGGAAATACACTTTGTGCCTTGACCTCCTGCACAGACACAGTGCTTTGCTAGCCTGGACATAGCAAAAATGAGTGGACAAGGAACTGTCTCACAGGATTCCCAAAGCAAGGATAGACAACTCCATAGAGAAGCAGGCTAAAAGCTGGAGAATACAAAGACATTTTAATGAGAAGCAGGCTAAAAGCTGGAGAATACTGCCAAAGACATTTTAACGAGCAAGGAGGAACAGGATACAATCAGTTTCAATGCCAAAACTCCAAAAATATCCAGCTTGATTCCCCCTTAGCAAAGATGAGGGCTGAAACCAACTTCAGCCACAGAAACCTCAGAGAATTTATAAACATCTTTGAGGTGCAAAAGACTTGTATTAGAAATGAAGGTATAGAGGAAAAAAGAAACACTTTGGCATAGAAGGCAGGCAGGGGGACCCCGAGGGTATTAAGGTACTCCAGGAATTAAGTGTTTGGCATAGAAGGCAGGCAGGGGGACCCTGAGGGTATTAAGGTACTCCAGGTATTAAGTGCCCTTTAGCTATGATATTTGAAATAGACTGGAAAATTATTTATTTGCAAGTGACTCAGCAGCCCTAAACTACTAGAATTATCTCAAATTATGGTTATGCAAGACCTCAGTTGAGTTTACTAAGTACTCTCAGTCAATGTACGGTAACCAGAAATCAAAGAGCTGGTTTGAGGTTTAATTAGCACATGCAGTTCAACATGCCAAGACAGAGGGTTTCTCTCTATGTACTGAGCAGATTCCAAACCCACAGCCATGTGGCCACACTGTCCCTGGAATAAACAGCTAACACACAGAGGAGACCTGAAGGAAAATAAATAAGGTAGATTAAAGAGAAATTAATCTATCATCTATGAAGGTTAAATGTATTAGAGACAATTACCAGATCATGTATAGCTTAAAACTAGTCACTAAGACAGAAATAGAGGATCCTTTTGTATTTCCCCTCCTAAGCTGCTTACAGGTTGCCTTTGGTTTAAAATGGATGCTTAAGTTCAGCATCTAGTATCTTCCCTATGTTCTTCAGGATCCAAGGAGTTTTAGCTAACTTGGAGCTTCCTGGATAAGCTCCAACCTAAATTGTGGAAGCTGTTATGAAATGCCTTAACTTCCAAAATGAAGAAAGAAACTAAAATACTGTAAAGACATTCACATCAACTTCTCAACTTCTTACAGCTAAGTGACAGAAAGAGCTCAGAGCATAGTTAACATCCTCCTCCTGCATCCAAGTAAGGCCAGAGAAAAGCCAAAGTGTTTGCAGAGCAACAGTTCTTTTCTGGTTTGAGCTGTATTTTTACAAGGGATAAGATCTTTCACTTGTGCAATGATATTTAATGGAGAATTCTTTCCTAAATAAACAAAAGCAGCAACTCAGGCACAAACTAATACTCAGAAGATCCAAAAAAACCAAACTAGAGCCGAAAGGACACTTAAAGTAGAATGCCACTAACAGAAAGCAATTCTACTCCACTGAGTGGAAAAAAAACCTCACCTTAGGTTTTAGGAAATACATCTCTGGATATGCCTGGATAACAGCATGAATAGACAATACTAACATCATGTTATTTATGGGGTGACAAAAAGCAGCTCATGGAAGGGCAGTATAATCCACAGACTGTCCAGGAAACCTGAATTGCATGACCTTACCACAAACCCAAGTGAAACTGGTTAGAAACCTACAAACTAAGAAAACCTGTTCAAGAAGAAAGGCTGCAAGAAGGTCTGCAGTGTTGGCTGACATTCAGAACACAGTAAGAACCTCAAAGATAGGACAAAAGCTAAATTATTTTTTCCCTCATCATTCAGGATTCATTGTAGAGACCTTTAGGAAGGTTCCTCACATGGAAACCCTTTATGAAGGCTAAGATCCTCCAGATCTTAACACAATGAATTCTACCCCCTGAGAGCAACCAAGTCTGGAGTGACTCAGTCACTCAGAGACCCTGGAGGAACTGAAATACTAAATGACTAACAGCTGCAGTATCCAGACACACGTGGTACTGGAGAAATGAAGGGTAATAAATGGGACACTGGGTTTGTTTGATTGTCAGGAATTCTGGGTGGGACTCTGAATGCACTACAGACAAGCCAAGGGAATCTTTGTACTTGCCAAGAAGGGGAGGAGAAAGAAGGGAAGAAAAAAAAAAGAGCTGTAAGGGAAAATTCTTAGGGAAAATTCAAAACTACAGGAGTTTCTTGGAGAAGACAGTTCTGCTGCAGTTCAGTGACAGTCAATGAATATAAAGGTAACAGTTGATCTGTTTAAGAGAATGAACTTATTTTTCTGGATGTCTTTACCAATATCCTTAGTTCTATATTGCCTTTTGGCTGCAAACTATGCATCATCTTCAACCCTACCTGAATCTCAAAATCAGCAGAAATACTAAGGTTGAAAAATTTCACCAGTGACACCAA